GTGGGAATAGGGATGTACATGACGGTGCACCAAACAGATCTCTTCCCAAAACGATGAAGGAAAGCGGGAAAACGAATATAAGAAAAATATCAAAATACTGACCACCAAAAGAAATAATGGCTTATAGGAGTGTACCAAAACATCACTGTCAACGCAGACCATTAAAACTGGTGATTTTTTTCTCCAATACTTAATTTATCTACAAAAATAAATTAAGAGTTATTACGGAATTATGGCAAAATTCAACCTGTACTGTTTCATGAAACTGAGTGAACTGACACCAAAACACTCAAAAAACCCAGTGCTGAGCCTCACACTACCAAAACAGCATTTAGCAACTACTTTATCTGCTCGAATCTGAGCACGCTACTGTTATGATGAAAATGAAATTTCGAAAAAGCAATGCTAAATTGTACTAAATATGCGATAAAAAATTGGAGAAAGCAAGAAATCGGACACGAAAGAACACTGGCCACCAGGTGTGATAAGAAGACTGACCGAGGAAAAAACTTGAAGAAAGACTCAAGAAAGACAACGTATTTCGCTTGGGAAAGATCCAAAGAAATTCTGGCCCTACAAAAAATATTTTTTCACATATATCAAGCACATACAATGACTGCGCATATACCAAACAGCATGATACCTCACCGAGTTCTTGGCACTGCAGGTTTGAAAAAAGATGGTGATATACAACACATCCTACGGATATTCCGATACGGCTGAAGTCTTGTCAAGTGCTCCTGTGGAAAGAACCGTAAAGCTAGTAATTACTTTAGTAGGCGAAACGAGCACAGTAAGTGATAAAGCAACGAGGAATTCACCAGCTGCACAGCTGGAGAAGCAGCCTCCCAATAATAGTCAACCCCGGCATTTTCGGTTATCAGTATGCATAATTATTGCATTTAAGGCAATTCAAAGTCAAAACCCCTCCACATTTCGCCCTCCGTAAAGTAGAGGCACTCGGAGAACAGTTCAATTGGTCGCAAATACCGACAGCAACCACCCGCTGGCAAGGCTGTCGATGGTTTCTTCTTCTGAGGATTGCTTAGAAGCAAGCTGATGGCGAGTTTGACTTTCTCGTATATGCCAGTACCAATTTACCATCGAGACGAATCGCAAAGGGAATGATTTTGCCATCCGTAGAGTCAAATCTTCAACCTACTGCACGACAACAGTGCTACTCAATGAGCCATGTCTGACCGCTTAAGGCAATTAATTCATTATAAAACTAAGCAATTTAATGCAATGAGGCCAGTGCACGTCTACTTATAATTTAAAATTACTGTGTACGAAAGAAAAGAACCACTGAAATTTTCTAAATAAAAATATGATACAAAAAAACCGGCAGTGGAGTGGTCCTGACAGCACTTCACCAATGACAGACTATTTCAGCAGTAAGTACTGCAAAGCGAGATAATACACGGAAGTGGTTCCAAATTCCAAATTGGCGAAATGCAAAGGGAGTAGGAAGGGAAGCTCGAGTTTTGCCTACAAAAAAAAAAGCTGCAAAAAAAAATGTCTTCCTACAACTGTTTCGTAGTTTTCAATGGTCTATGAATTTTGTTACAAATGAATGAAAAAGAATAGAAGATTCATGGTAACCAAATGTTTCTATGCGGCGCCAAAATCGTGTATCCACTTCTCATATTTCTGCACATCAGCATACGACACCGATGGTGATGTATTTTGTATGGCGTGAGAGAAATCGTCCGAGGTGATCGGTAAATCGACTTCCTCCTGCGCCAAAGCCTTGATCTCTTCGGCTGTTAGATTTGCAATGCGTGCACGCATGCTCATCATTGCTGCTTCACGACAGACATTTGTAACATCGGCGCCCGAGTAGCCAGCTAACCGATCAGCGACCTGCAAAATACATGCATTTAGAACAGAGCAGTTTCTCCCCTCCCCCTCCCCCCCGAAAAAAAAAACTCCGCTATTTATCAGTGATTCTAAAGAGACTCGAGAACTGGCACTAGTCCACTGTACCGCCACGCCATTGGTCTCAAAATAATCCTCATCAATGTCTAAATCCTGGACGATTATCAAACGAGTGATTCCTGCGGTTTCATCAATTAGCAGTTTAGACTTATTTGATGCTTTTTTGACGATTAAAGCAAAACGTGCCTCTTCTAAATTGACATCTTCTGCCACGGTAACTTCAGCTAAGGCCAGCTTCAGCAGTTGTAGTCTATTGGTTTTATCCGGTAATGGGATATATATTCGTTTTTCAAGGCGTCTTCTTAGTGCCTCATCCAAATCCCATGGAAAATTTGTAGCAGCCAAAACAAGCACTTGCTGCTCATCCGGCGAGCAACCTGAAAAACAAGACATACAGTCCACTGTGCTAATTTGACGAACTGAAACCAAAATCACTAAATTACATACAGAATAGGTAACAGTGAAGACGGAATGGGAAAGAGGCTACCATCCATTTGAGTGAGGAGCTCTGACTTCACGCGTCTCGATGCTTCGTGTTCGCTATCGCCGCCTCGCCTGCTGCATAAACTATCTATTTCATCGATGAAAATTGTTGATGGCGCATGAAAACGAGCCTGAAATTTGCAAAAAATCAACAGTGCCGCTAAACCGATCATTTTCATTTCGCATTTCTTGACATCTTTCTTTGAAGGATGAAATGTGATAAAAAACAGAAAAGAAATAAACAGCGGCGCGCGTCAGCAAAGCAGGTGCGATCACGTGTTTTGCGCAGTTTCGCCCAACGAGCGTTTATCTGCTAAAAATTTGACTCTTTTACAATGTCGCACGTGCATAAGCAGCGGATACGTTGCCTGTCTCTTAAGCTACAAAATTTCTACTAAAAAATTTCATGCACCGACACGTGAAAGCTGGATTTGAAACTTTGAACGAAGAACATCCTCCCAAACTTCATCCCTCGTTTTTGGCTTCCAACTTAGTGACTTTCGCATCAAAACTCTCGCGTGGTCGTACGTAAGAATTCAGCATAATTGGGAGCTAAATTTGAGTTGTGAGGTATCTGCATAGGCAGACTACATCCTCTTGAAATTTTCGCCCCACAGCTTCTCTGGTTCCCGAGATAATAATTTTCCGTGCCAGAAGTATCGCGGGCCGCACAAGAGACCCAGGCACACATAAAAGCTGATTTTTGTTCCGCGAGGTCGTATGTGTGTCAAGGACATTCTCCGAAAATTTCAGCTCCCTGTCTTTTATGGTTTGCGAAATGATAATTTTTTCCCGCCGAAATTTTCATGAGGGCGTGTCTGAGATCCAAGCTTAACTAAACGTTAATTTTGAACTTGCCGGATCGCAAGTGAGCAGGAAACATTCCAGTTAAATTTCAGCTTCCTAGATTTCATGGTTTCCGAATAAATTTTCCGCCAAAACTTTCACGGGGCCGTGCTTAATACCCCAAACGCAAGGGAAAGTTGAATTCAGATTTTCTGGGTCACACGTGGGCAAAGGACAAACCTATAAAATTTCAGCTTCCCAGCTTCCATAGTTCCGAGATACTAGTTTTCTTCGCCAAGATTTCACGAGGCCGTACTTATTACCCGCGGAGAAAGGCTGAATTTAAATTTGAAGCCGCACGTGCGCAGGCCCCTAAAATTTAAGCTTCTTAGATTCCGTGGTTCCCGAGATAATAATTTTCTCTACTAGGGTTTTCACTACGCCGTAATTATTACCCGCCGGTTCGAGATGAATTTAAATTTGAAAAGTTGCATGTGAGTGGGAAGAAATCTCCTAAAATTTGAGCTTTCTAGATTCCGTGGTTCCCGAGATAATTTCCCAGCCAAAACTTTCAGGGGGTCGATTTTGCGGGCACGACAGGGCTGGTCTTTAATTTGCTGGGTAGCACGTGGGTGGGGGACACTCCACTTAGGTTCCAGTCGTCTAGCTTTTGTGGTCCTCGAATCGAAAGTGCTAGATAGAATGCCCTTGGACATACACACACACACACATACACACACATACACACACAACACACACACACACAATACACACACAACTCTATGACAATACTCGTTTTGTTCTGCTGTTACACACTGCGAAACGCATAAAAATGGTGTTTGTAAATTCTAGCGAGCGTTAATAAGAAGCTATGTGAGTGCAGCTAGCTCGAAACTAGTAGAAAACTGTCACATGCATTGGCTGCGAGAATACACATCGTGAATATCTGAAATTTTTAGAACTTTAGAAGTACCATTTTAAAAAGGAGCTGGACAAGCTTTTCAGAATCGCCGCGATATTTTGAGGTGAGTGTAGCGGAAGATACACAGAAGAATGTTGTCTGACTTTCCGTTGCAACAGCCTTTGCAAGCAATGTTTTGCCCGTTCCCGGAGGACCAACCATGCAAACACCACGCCACGGCCGCCGAATACCCTGAAACAGTACACGGTTTCTCAAAGACGAAAACGATGGTATGATTCAGTCTCTACACCATGCAACTGACACACCGGCAGTGTAACATCGTCATAATATATAAATATATTTGCATATATGTCAGAGGCTTTACTCCCCCTGTCTGTTCCATGCTTTAACAGCGGATTTATCGATGTGAAAGCACAATTCTCCTATAAAGCAAAACGAAAACCTTGAAAAAATTTGGCATAACGGAAGGCAGGATAACCGCTTCTTTCAACAATTTTTTTGCTTCCTCCAAGCCGGCGATGTTGTCCCAGTGAACATCAGGCCTGTTCTGCATAATGTCTCGTTCAATCACTTCGACCAGCTCTTTATCGTATCCCTTATCCTCGAAAACTTTCTCAGTGGCATTTTTCTGTAAAACGTTTAATTGTTCCACGAAAATAGTACTTCCGGGAGTGATATCTCTTCTTTTATTCCTGTAAATCCTCTCCCGTCTTACCCATCAAGAAACCAAGATGATAATATATCAACTATTACATTCAGATCTCTTTTTTTATGCGTTTTGTGCTGTGTAACAGCAGTACAAAACGCATATTGTTACGGGGTTGTCT